TCAAACAGTTTTATACTTTGTTTTTTAACATGTTAACTTGCTACGAATTATGAAAGAAGACCATTGATAAGCGGATTAGATAATAGTAGGAAAAATTAAAACATAATTGGCCAAATACTGGCAACAAATGAATCTGTAATTGGTCAAATTTCATACTGGTGTTTCCCCTAACAAGTTCATTACAATAGCAGTAGTTTTAATTACAAATTATGAAAAGTTTTGATATCTAAGCCTTATTTCAAAGTTAAAGTTATTTTGCTAATGATGTAATTTTCATACTATGAATTTTATCAACTTAACTGAAAATAACTTTGACTTGCATGCAAAACGTATTCATCTAGAAGTAACTGTTTTCTTATTTAATAATAATAATAATGAATATTAGAAACTATTGCACGTGTAATTTTTTACACCACTCTAATGCGATTTAATTGGAAGTAAATTATGGATTTCTCTCTTTCTGTGCAAACTATAAGAGATTTGTAAAACTAAAAAAACAAAACTTTTTTCAAACAGAACTTGGTATGCTTAACTTAAAAGTTTATATTATTTATCAATTTTTTCTTCAAGAAAACAGGCACTTCTAAATGAATACTTTTACAACAAAGTTAATTGTTTTCTAACTCTAGTAACAGTCCCAAAAAAGACCAATTTATTTTCACTAAATTTATGTAACAACTAACTTTCAACAGACAGAAGTTATCTTTATTTACTCCATAAACAGCATCAAATGCCATCTTTATTTCTATTGAGTTTATCTTGTCACTTGCTCACTGTAGTAACAGTAGTCCTCAATCTCAAGTTTCAGTTTATACTGAAATAGCAACACAAAGGAATTTTTTACAAAATGAACTGAAAGACAACTTTCATTATGATACAGACTTTGCATTTTCAAGTAATACGTAAGAAAAGAAAAATATTAAAGGGATACAATGCATAAAATTAATTTGAAGTCTTGAGTACTCCTAGTACTGACTAAGAAAATAAAAGATTACGATACTGGTATTAAACATAATTGGTTAATTTTCATATTTATTCAATACTTTTACAATCTTATTAAAATAACCACAATTATTACTCATTAATTAAGTTTCTTATCTTTGCACAAATGAAAATCACATTTAATAATTTCTAATACTAACCTGTACGTTTTCCTTAAAATATCTGAGTTAGCAGGTTTAGGGGGTGGTGTGGGTCTCGGAGTACTACTGTTTGTTCCTCCAAGCTGTAGTCCACTGACTGGTTTAACCACTTGTTTAGAAACAGCACTTGGGAGAAATTGGTGAGGACTGGAAGGTTTAGGTGGAGGAAGTGGGATCGACGAAAGCGGCCTCTTTACCTTGACTCGTCTACCTTTAAAGGTAATATATACAAATTAAAAACCCTAAAACTTTTTACTTCTGTTTGTAGACTAAATACTTTAGTTAGAAAAATTTAGAACTAAAATTATTATGATAAGTAGAGCAATATACCATTCAATAATTACAACGATGTGGCGTGTGGCCACTTCCTATAATTAATATATGTGCATCTATTACCAGTATTAGTGAATGTGACCATCACGAAGGACAGTGAGCACTTTCTAACAAGTTTCACAGTTGTTTTACATCGAGATGTACATAAACACCTTTGCTCTTGAAACAGAGAAAAATTATGATACAATTAAAATAACTGTTTTCTTAATTAGCTTGATGAGAACAATCCAAAAAGTCAATTGAGCTATTCACAATCTTTGTATGCTGCTTGTAGACCAATCACAATATTTTGTATATTTTAATATGCTGCTTGTAGACCAATCACAATATTTTGTATATTTTAATATGCTGCTTGTAGACCAATCACAATATTTTGTATATTTTTGTATGCTGCTTGTAGACCAATCACAATATTTTGTATATTTCTTGCTATGGAGTACACAAAACAACTGTGACTAAAGCAGAGAAATGGCTTTTGGACTAAATAAAAAAAGGCATTAACTGGTTTGATATAAAAAAATTTAGTCATTGTAGCTTTGTAAGCTCATCAAGTTCCCTTTTTATGGTTTAAATTTAAATTGCTTAGTTAATATTACACGTAGAAGCCACTGCTGCACATGCAATGAATGAGAGCCATCTTTATTTTCACCAAGCTTATCCACAGCTGCACGTGCACTGAATGAAAGCCATCTTTATTTTCACCAAGCTTATCCACAGCTGCACGTGCACTGAATGAAAGCCATCTTTATTTTCACCAAGCTTATCCACAGCTGCACGTGCACTGAATAAAAGCCACTTATATTTTTACCGAGCTTATCTTGTCACTAACTCTTTGGAGTATAAAAAACAACAAGAAACCCCAAGTTTCAGTTTATATCAGCCCTAACTTAACATGCATAAAAACAAGAAGATACCATTAGTGCAAAAATATCGTGAAAAACAAGGGACCAAATCACACAGTTAACATACAATATAGATTAGGTGGTTTTGTTCATTCAGTGTGAAAAAAAAAGTGATCTGTTTCTATTGTGACATTAATAACTTAACAGCATATCTTTTACAAGACCTAAATAATAAATCAATACTTTAGAGATTATACTGACAGAATGGTTAGCTAATAATGTAGTGGGAACACACCCAGACGACATGTGTTATGTGTGACAGATAGTTGTTTCACATCCTAAGGTTGTGCAAGTATGAGATAACGGTTATTCCAGGCACGAAGCCCGTGTATCTCTTGTCCAAATTTTAATGCTAAGATTTACTCAATGAGTATAAATATTTATTTTCTCTAAGAAATATTCCACTTACCAACACCAGGACCAGCAGCTTTGATCACTTTTGTGCTGTATAAATACATGTTAAAAAAACATTTAGTGAAATAACTGATTACATAAAGAACCTGAATTCATGTTTTAAACTGTAATTTTGAAACAAAATATCACATGATAAAAACTGCTTATTATTTGGAAATGATTGACAAACTACAACTTTCTTTGAAAATACAAATAGCAGAGTAAAAAACAAACACAATAGATGTTCATATTATTTCATCTTTTAAAACAGGACCTTGGAAAGTAAAACAAAACCAAAGTGATGAAGATACACTTTCTGTCAATAAATGTCTCATAAGACAACAACTGAAACTGATATTTATAAAATCATTATTTAAGTTAATTCTACTTATAAGCATATTGATACGATTTATTCTTGCCTCATAGTTTATATATAAATAAATAAATATATATATATTTTAAGCAAAAGCTACTGATATTTCTAAGAAAGTATATATTGTGATTTTCTAGAAGTAAAATATTCATGCTTGTTCATTTCAGATATTTTTGCAAAACTGCTTAAGGATTATGTGTACTAGCCATCCCTACTTTTGAGCTGACAGACTAGAGGAAAAGTAGATAATTAACTGCAGCAGCACCCACTAACAGCTCTTTAGGTGCTGGAATATGATCATCACTCTTATAAAAAAAGTTTCAACTTAAGTATCTATGACAGGAAAAAAACTCAGAATCTACATCATTTTTTCCATGTGACAAGCAGAACTTTTCCAATTCAACATTCAGTCTACGTAAAAGTTTGTTTTTTATGAAGTATTTATTAGTTAATTAAATATTAAAACTGTAAAAAATCTATTATTTTCATGATTTTTGATGTTGTACTTGAATTAAAGTATGCACTGTCAAGTAACTACAAGAAAGCTCGATACATATTAATATTAATTTCCCATGTACGGTTTTTGACACAAGGTGATAAAACACACTATCTTTAATAACAAGATGTTCCTCTCTTCTCTAACTTTTAATATATTTGACAATCATGTCTAAGTTTGCAAAAGTGATGTGATGTTTAATCATGAATGATTATAAAAAATATCAAATTGATCCATTTACATCTCTAATGATGAACCAGATAGATGGTGATCTTACGAAGTCCTTTACTAAATCCCTACAGCACATATTCACAGTACTCACCAATTTTTCTTGTTTTGTTGTTCAGCAAAAGCCATCTTATGTTTTGTTTTTTCATAGCTGTCTTCCGTCGCGTGAATTTGCATCTTATGTAGCATGCTCCCAAGTGATTCTAAAGACCTAGGAAAGGATTAAAACTTGTAATTACCATCTTATAAAATACTTTATTTACCTCATTATGTTTATCCTACTACATAGCAAAATAAAAACTGTTTTTACTTCGATAAAATATTCAATTAGTTTTGTGCTTAAAATGCATATAAACAAAGTTGGTTGAAATTTAAACATATCCACAAAAACATTTTTTTAATGTTTATTGGAAAAACATATATATATATTCTTTAGAAATTTCCGGAACACGATATTCAATTGATTTTTGAATGAAATTTTTAACCAAGCAGCCAAAGTACAACTAAGGTAAAAAACAGTTCTTACTGAATTTTTTATATCCTTAATACTAGCAGTGAATCTATTCCAGGATCAAACACTAGTTAGACAGCAGTTTATATCAGCACTGCACAGGTGTTTGGTTTCACAAAGGAAAACAGCATTTGCTGACGAACACCCTAACCGCTACTGTAGAAATCTTAGAAACCTAACACTTTCTATCTGATTTTTATCAACAATATTTGGAATTAAAAGACCACATACAACATACATTGGTGGAAAAAAAGTTGAAATATTTCTCTATCTCTGTCTCACACACACACACACACACGCATTTACATATCAAATGAAAATTACTGAAACAGGAAGTCTCTGTACAGGTAAACTAACAACAACATATACACACAGATTTCCTGCAAAGTTATCTAATGAAGATAAACTTTCAGACGACTTATGGTAGTTTAAGAACAATGCTTCAAACTGTTAGTACGAACATGTCAGTGTAAACAATCTTCATTCACTTATGGTTGTTTAAGAACAATGCTCCAAATTGTTAGTATGAACACATCAGTGTGTTGTCTTTAGTGTTGGTGAGAAACCTCTGTGATAAAGAGGTTAAGAATATAGAATACTATGGAAAGAGCATAGCAGCAAGTTGATGCAAAAGTAGACTGAAGTGGCTGTTAGTATGACTGGAGAAAAGAAATGTGTGCTTACTGATATTGTAAGA